ATGCAGGGCATTGTAGGGCAGCCCAGAGGCACCCTTTCCGTAAACCCTAAGCCCTAAACCCTAAACCCTAAACCCGAAACCCTAAACCCCAAACCCTAAACCCTAAACCCTAAACCCTAAACCCTAAGCCCTAAGCCCTAAACCCTAAACCCTAAACTCTACAATCCCAGAACCCTAGAAATTCCATAATGAGCTTGGTTGGCACCCTAGACCCTAAAACCTCCCTAAGAGTCCTAATGAGCTTGGTTTAATTCGGGCATCGGGCTCAGAGGGGACTTTCTACGCCGTTTTGGGACTTGATGTTTGTTAGACTGGGTTTTGGAGTACTATACTTTAATACGTTTTTTGGTTCTGGGTTCCTATTATAGCTACTTGTACCTAAAAAGTATATACCTTTTTTCCAGGGTCTACTCCAAAGGTGGGTCTAAACACCCTATCAACGCCCTTTACGTGCCTATAAGTACTTTTCAAGTTGCTACAGAGCAGTATGTGTTGCCGTGACTAGGGCCCTGGGAAGACTGCTCGGCCCACGCGGCCCCTTGAACAGAATCCTGTCCAGGCGTGTAGGAAGCTGAAATCGGATCTAGAGAATCTAGTATAGAGTTTAGGGGTTAGGGGTTAGCATTTAGGGTTAAGGGTTTACAGTTACCCCTAAACCCTAAACCCCAAACCCCAAACCCTAAACCCTAAACCCTAAACCCTAAACCCTAAACCCTAAGGGCCACCCCCCCCCCCCCAGCAAAAAAAAAAAACATAACCCCAGAGAGACCCGACCTTTAGGTCACGAACGTGGCACCCTTCGGTGCTTTCGTCGATGCCGCATCCTCATTCTCCCTCATCCTGGGGGGTGGGGGGGGGGGGGGAGTTAAAAGGAGGGTTTAGGGTTTAGGGTTTCGGGTTTAGGGTTTAGGGCTTAGGGTTTAGGGTTTGGTGTTCAGGGTTTGGGCCTCTCGTTTAGCCCGTTTTGTTCAAGCGGGTTTCCCATTTGGGCTCAGGGTTCTGCTTCTTAGCCATATCAGCCAGCTCCAGGGGAAGTCCTAAGTTCTAAGTCCTACCAAACCTTCTAAACCCCCTAAACCCTAAACCCTAAGCCCTAAGCCCTAAGCCCTAAACCCTATTCTGAACCTTAGGATAAGCATGAGAGCAAGGTTGGCGCTGCGAGGAATGCGAAGATCCTCATCGAGCCACGATTGTGGAAGCAGTTCCACGCACCCCGTCACCAGGGTTTAGGGATATAGGGATTTAGGCTTTACTACCATTTGCTTAAGAACCCCCCCTCCCCCCCAAAAAACAATAGTCCCTATGTTACCCTTATAAGGAAGAAGATATTCTTTTGGGAGTTCTTAAGGAATTCGTAGTTCAGCGCTTTTTCATGTTAAACCCCAAACCCCACACTCGAGGGTGTCTAGGACTAAGAGCAGGGCCCCTTATTCCTTTTTTTTGGGGGTTTAGGCTACCTTATGATCCCCTTTCAACTCAAAAAAGGGCACTCTTTTTTGTTCCTAGGTTTCTCTCCCTCAACGCTAAACCCTAAACCCTAAACCCCTTCAAAACCACAAAGGGTGCCCGTTTATTCCTTAGTAGCTGAGTGAGCACGCTTTACACTTCTTGGGGTACTAGCATCCCCTATAGAACTGAAAGTGTACACTTTTGGGGGGCTTCTGAACTCAGCAACTAAGGAGTGCTCTCTAATGGACCTCAATGACTCAAAGGTTGGGCTTAAAGAGGTTTGCTCATCTTCTTAACTCAGCAACTATGATTCTTAGGTTGCTCTTGGACCTAGGTTTGTTTAATGTTAAACACCCAGGGAAGCGAAGGCTTCTGGCGAGAGTGTGAGGTTGAAGGGCCGCACGGTGCAGGTTTAGGGTTTAGGGTTTAGGGTTTAGGGTTTAGGGTTTAGGGTATAGGGTCCCTGAACCCTAAACCCTGAACCCTATAGACTCTGCCTGGGACTGCACTGTTTGGTAGTAGCTACTCTTTATTAGTAGGTATGTCCCATAAAACTGTAGGTAAAGAGGGTCTCAGGTAACCCCCAAAACCCTCAACCGCAGTTGTCAGGCTGTAGGGGTCCTATGTTCCGCAAGAACATAGGAATTACCTTAAGAACCCATGGCCTACCCTTGTTTAGGTTATTACTATGAAGGCCCTTATAGGATTCTGAAGTAGCCCACCGAAAGGTAGGGTTGGGGGTTCTTAAGGAAACGGCCCAAGGTTGCGCAGCAAGGACTCCCCAAGCAAAACCCACCTCGAGAGACCCTAACCCTATGTTGTTGTATGCGACCCAAGATTCTTAGAAAGCCGAAAACAAGGTAGGCTAATGGTTGATTGCTTTAGAGCCTATAAACCCAAAACCCTAAACCCTAAACCCTAAACCCTAACTAAACCTTCTCTTTTGACTTACATGGCAAGGTAGGGGATCGGATTGATGAGTGCGCGACGCGCTCAGAGCGGCGCTCCTCCTGGGGGATATTGTTTAGGGCTCGGGGTTCAGAGTGTAGGGATCTAGGGTTCAGGGTGTAGGGTTTAGGGTTGAGTGTAGATCCCTAGAATCAGTACCTAAACCAACCTCGAGAACTGCCACCTTTTGGCAGCACATCTCGGCCTAGAAGCCCCCTGAACCCTGTAGGCACTCAGCAGAAGGTTTCGGAATTCAGGGGTTCGCGCGAGCTCAAGGTTTAGTGTTTAGGGTTTAGGGTTTAGGGTTTAGGGCTTGTTCTTTGGGGCTTAGGGTTTGGGGTTTGGGGTTTGGGGTTTAGGAAACATCCCCAACAACCCCCTAAACGCCTCTCCACCACACCTTAAACCAACGCAGCTCCTCTAAACCCCTTCGGACCCTAAGCCCCATACAAATCCGACATCTGCTTGCAAGAGTTTGCTAGCTTTACTAGTCTTGCTTAGCTCTTAGTAGTAAATAAGGTCGCCGCAAATCCCTTAAGTGTATAATACAGTAATCTATTGCTTCCCATTGTACTAGCAGTCCTTAATCGGGATTATGATAGGGGGTACTATACTCCCCCCTAAACCCTAAACCCTAAACCCTAAACCCTAAACCCTAAACCCTAAACCTTATAATTAGTATAAGGGGGAGCATCCCAGAGCCTACAGCAGGCGGCTGGCTAATCTGAGCAATGCTTGGACGAGCCAGGGTTCTGAGAGCTCGAGATTTGGGGGGGGTTGGGGTTTACTTGGAGGTTCAGGGTACCTAGGGTTTCGGGTTTAGGGTTTCGGGTTTAGGGTTTAGGGTTTGTAACCCCAATTATAGCTGTAATGATAAGCCCCCTAAGTCTCCGAAGTAGGTTAGAAGTAGACGTATAGTTGGGGTTGTGAGTACCCATGAACCTCCAAGTACTTCCCGGACTACCTGCTCAGGTCGTCAAGGAAGTGGAGCTCGAGAAGCACCGCTTCTGCGTCACGCTTCAGAACGTCGTCAGCCCAGCCGGAGGAAGGCTTCAGGTTCTTGGTAGCCCACTGGTACCCTTGGCTTTTTTTTCGTTCAAGGTTCCCTTATAAAGTAACCAACCGAAAAAAAGGTGCCCTTATTAAAGCCTGGTTACTGGGCCACCAAGGGTTCAGGCAAATAGGACTCCCGATTGATTGCAAAGGGCTTCTGTTCAGGGTGCCTTAGGTAGGGGCACCAAAAAGGACATAAGCACAAGCGTTTTATAAGGATATCCTACCTTGTTGGGCTTCAGTATAAGGGTGACGTGCATGGGATATCCCTATCCTAGTTTGTCTGCTTATGTGCATTTTGGGGGGCCCTATTAAGCCCTGAACCCCAAACCCAAAACCCTAGACTAAGCACAGTCATTCGTTCTTTACAGCCCGCCAATAACCCTAAACCCCAAACCCTATGTTCTACATGCAGCCGATGATGTCACCAACTGTCTTGCCCTCAAGCTCAATTCCCCCCCTCAGCCTCCTACAGTTTTGGGGGTTTAGGGTTTAGGGTTTAGGGTTTAGGGTTTAGGGTTTAGGGTTTAGGGTTTAGGGTTTAGGGGGTTTAGGGTTTAGGGGGTTTAGGGTTTAGGGCTTTGGCCTTGGGTTTCTGGCTCTGCAACACAAGTCCTCAGAGCCTTGTCGACCTGGAACCTCAACCGCAAAGAACCTTTACCTCCATAACCCCGCAATTGCCCATCCATTTCGTAGCCTATCATTTGCTGAAGAAGCCCCAAAAAACAAAAGATGATGATCCCGATATTGCTCTTTTAAGGACGAATAATGCTCTTTTGGGGGGGGGGGGGGGTGGCTCTTAAGCAAATATTCGTATAACATCATACCCATAACCCTAAGCCTAAACCCTAAATCCTAAACCCTAAACCCTAAACCGTAGTTATAGAGTAGTAACTAGTCCGACACCTGCAGCCCGAAGACTCGGACCCCCGCATCTCTAGCCAAAGGCCGAAGCCGCCATCGCCGAGAATCGCGTCCCCCTACAGGACCAGGGGAAGCTTGAACCCTAACCGTTCCTTTTTGCAGGCATGTTGGTGCTACGGATAGTATGAGGCGTCTATGTATACATATAGTCCGTGATTCTCAGGGTTCTTAGGGGAGGAGCAGTGCCTTCTGCTCCGTTCAAGCACGCCTGTTCAAGCACGCCTTACACCTCCGAACCCCCCCCCCCCCCCCCCCGCCCACACACAATGACCCCATAATTCCTTCTGATCAAGTACATGTTGGACCATGCAAACCTGAACCTCAATAGCCCAAGAGAACAGGTCACCCAAAAACGGGGCTACAAGTATTTGCATATGTCTTTAAGCCCTAAGTCTTTAGGGTTTAGGGTGTATGGTTTCGGCCTAAACCCTAAACCCTAAACCCTAAACCCTAAACCCTAAACCCTAAACCCTAAACCCTAAACCCTAAACCCTAAACCCTAAACCCTAAACCCTAAACCCTGAACGGGAACTCACGATCCGCTGTGTGCCTTCGGCAGGAGCTCCGAGAGGGTGACCTGGCATGGGTCCCGGCATGGGCGTTGAGGGGTTTAGGGTTTAGGGTTTTGGGTTTAGGGTTTAGGGTTTAGGGTTTAGGGTGTGGAAGGGTTGAGGGGCTTTGGGGTTTCTTAGGGCTTTTGTCAGGGGTGTCTTCTGGGTTTTCGGGTTTTTGGGTTTTTTGGCTTTACTTCAATACTTGTTTTGGTTCTGGGTTCCTATTATAGTTACTTCTACCTAAAAAGTGATTTTTTCCAGGGTCTACTCCGAAGTAGGGTTTTAAGGGGCCATGCAACTTCCCCTCCTCAGATTGTAGGCTTACTGGATGTTGCGGCTTGCTTTTATTTACGGATGTGCTTGTTTTTCGCAAGGTTTGGGCTTGAGGGTTTAGGGTTTGTCAAGCTCTCCAAGAACGGGCAAGAAGCTGGAATCAAGCCCGATTTTTAAGGGTGTTTAGGATTGACGGTTTGGGATTCAGAAAGCTCTCCACGAACGGACACGAAGCTGGAATCAATTAGGGGCTTAGGGTGTTTCGGGGCTTTTTGGGGTTCAGGGGGGCTTAGTGGTTTAGGGGCCTTGCCGTTGAACAATGGAGTGCGTTGGTTTTTTGGGCTTTAGAGGCACTGTTTGTTGTGTATCACCCTAAACCCCAAACCCTAAACCCTAAACTCTCATTCCGCCCGGGACCAGCCCGTCCCGGACCAACAGCCTCTCCGGCCTGAGCCTAGACTCATCCTAGCTCAACGCACCTCGTATATGACCCCAATAGCTTGGCGGGGCTTTATCAGTAGAGTTATAATTGAGGTTTACAAGTACCCTAGACTCGGGAGACCCTGTTGGATATTTTTGTATTTTCCCTTAGGTTTAAGAGGACCATATCTAGGAAGAATTGTTAGAGGGGTTTAAGGGCCAGCCCAAAACCCTACACCCTACACCCAAACACTGTTCTAGACCCCCAAACCAAGTTAAACCTATCTCACCCCCAAACCCCAAACCACAAACCCCAAACCCCAAACCCTAAACCCTAAACCCTAAACCCTACGCCCCAAAACCCAGCAGCCACCCTAAAGGAAGGGATTTGAGTGTCAGAAGCCCTCGACCAATTGGGCTCTAGATGTAAACAAGCTCGTAAGCCGCTGCCTCCGTAAGGTTCAGGGTTTTTAGGGAACCCTAAGTGCCGAAGCCCTAAACCCTAAGCCCTAAGCCCTAAGCCCTAAGCCCTAAGCCCTAAGCCCTAAGCCCTAAACCCTAAACCCTAAACCCTAAACCGAAACCGCGGGGTTGAGTAGGGTTCCGAGTCTAGGACTGCACCTTTCTTCTGACAGCAGAAGCTCGAAACCCTACTAGGAGGTTCATAGTACTTATTAACCAAGTAAAACTGTACTTATAACCAATGATAGCCGTACTTACAACCCACTTGTAAGCCCCTTGACTGCCCTAAGATGGTTATAAGTACAATTACAAGTAAACCTAAACCCTAAACCCTAAACCCTAGATTCGTTTGTAAGTAGCATGAACCTCCAAGTAGACTCTCCCCATAGCACCCTCAAGGCCTACAAGACCGCAAGATTATCTGTTTGGGGTTTAGGGTTTGGGGTTTAGGGTTTAGGGTTTGGGGTTTAGGGTTTGGGGTTTAGGGTTTGGGGTTTAGGGTTTAGGGTTTAGGCTTATTGCTTCAAGACCCAAATCTTTCCGCGCAAATCCGGCTCAACTTTTCCCGAGCAAGCACTAACGTGTGTAGCTTCTGCCCGAGTTCGGCTCCATTTTGTGAAAGAATGATGCCCTCTGGCGCTTGAAGGATTTAGGGTTTAGGGTTTGGGGTTCAGGGTTTAGGGTTTAGGGTTTGGGGTTAGGGTTTTGGGTTTAGGGTTTGGGGTTTGGGGTTTGGGGTTCAGGATTCAGGGGGGTTTGCGGGAGGCGAATACTTTGGAGGATCGGGAGAACTCAGGGAGTAGCCAGAACCGGCGTTCTGAGCACCCTCAAAGACACCCCGCCTACTGTCATGGTACTTATTAACCAAGTATAACTGTGCTTATCACCCACTTAATAAGCCTCTTAGGTGCCCGAAGTCTGGTGACCTGAACCCTAAACCCCTAAACCCCAAAACCCTAAACCCTATAAGTACGGTCATAAGTACAGTTATAGTTGGTTCATAAGCACCCTCAACCTCCAAGTAGGGTCGTCCCTCTTGCCTTCAGCCTCACCGCAGACCTAGACTCCTGGTGGGAGGATCCCAAAAGTGGACTGTGTTTAGGGTTTAGGGTTTAGGGTTTAGGGTTTAGGGTTTAGGGTTTAGGGTAGATCCCCCTGAAGGTTCCCAAGAACGATCCACAAGTTGTACAGTGTACTGAGTGTACTGTATGTTTAGGGTTTAGGGTAGATCCCCTTGAGGGTTCCTAAGAGTGACCCAGAAAGTGTAGAGGGTACTGTTAGGGTTTAGGGTTTAGGGTTTAGGGTTGGGGCTCTACTTTTTTGGATCCTCCCAGGGCCTGGGTATAAACCCTACACCCTCAAACCTGCAGGCGGGCTGCTGAGTCGAACCTCTTGAAATCTCGGCCCCATCTCCGCCATTGCTCCACCGTTCTTACCCTTCCCCCATCCAAAATAATCCCTAAACCCTACACCCTAAGCCCTGACCTTTTTTGGGTAGCGTGATTTCAGGGTGCAAAACGCATCATGCTAAGCTGGAAAGCCCTAGAGCAAGAAGCCTTCAATTGATTCAGGGTTTAGGGTTTAGGGCTAGGGATTAGGGTCTAGGGTACCTTCAACCCTAAACCCTGAATTTGCCCTTCCTTCGGGAATCACGTGATTTGTTTTGTGTTTTTTCTTCGTAGTTTGGGTTTAGGGTTTAGTATTTGGGCTTTATTGGGTTTAGACCCCAAAGAACAATTCAAGCTTAACGTCTTATGATGGCTCTAATGGGAACCCACAAAACCCTGAAGCCTTGCTAAAGCGCGATTTATGGCAGGGTTTAGGGTTTAGGGTTTAGGGTTTAGGGTTTAGGGTTTCGGGTTTAGGGTTTAGGGTTAGCAGAACCCAGGACCCTGCGCTACAGCCGCACCTTCATCGATGTCGACGAGGACCTGCATGAAGTACACTGCCGATCCAAGAGCGTTCCTCCGGCGCGCGTCGCAGAGCAGAACGATGAGGATGCCCAGGCCAAGAGTTTAGGGTGGGAAGTAGGGTTTGTATTCCTTGTACTGCCACAGTTGAGGGTTTAGGGTTTAGGGTTTAGGGTTTAGGGTTTAGGGTTTAGGGTTTAGGGTTTAGGGTTCCTTGCATCCCGGACACCAATTCTATACACTCACCAATGTTCAAAAGGAACCCTGAGTACACTCACCAATAACAGTAATATAAACCCTGTTTCATGTCCATGCCAAGAGTTTAAGGATTCGGTTTCGGGTTCATGGGGCTTTGGGAAACCCTAAGCCCGAAACCCCTGCATGAATACTTGGGCCCTAAAGCTACTATATGTAGGTGCATGGACCCTTAGGGCAAAACTCCGTCCGAAACCCACCTGTCGCATCTTAGACCCTAAACCGTTTCCTAAACCCTTTAAACCCTTTAAACCCTTTAAACCCTTTAAACCCTTTAAACCCTTTAAACCCTTTAAACCCTTTAAACCCTTTAAACCCTTTAAACCCTTTAAACCCTTTAAACCCTTTAAACCCTCAAGCCCAAACCCGAAACCCCAAACCCTAAACCCCCGACCCCAAACCCCAAACCCCAAACCCCAAAGCCCAAACCCCAAACCCCAAGCCCTATTGGGCTCGCGGCCCTCAAGTCTGACAAAATCTCCCGAAAAAGGAAGCAAATTGATGGTTGAATGAAAAAAAACCCTGTGTTTGGGGTTTAGGGTTTATGGTTTAGGGTTTAGGGCTTAGGGTTTAGGGTTTAGGGTTTAGGGCTTAGGGTTTAGGGCTTAGGGTTTAGGGTTTAGGGTTCAGGGTTTAGGGTTTAGGGTTTAGGGTTTAGGGTCCCTGGCACCCCAGTGGTACCCTTTGCCCTTTTTTCTGGTCCAAGGTTCCCTCATGCAGTAACCAACCGAAAAAAGGGTGCCCTTAGCAAAGCCTGGTTACTGGGCTACCAAAAAGGCTTTTGGGCTCTTTTGCGCCCTGGGGGGCCGAAGGTTTGTGGTTTTCCGTCTCCACCTGATGAAACCCCTTACCTTTGTCCACAGTTGGGTACCACTTTTACATGTTTGAGGGTACTTAAACCCAATAAGGAATAGACATTTGTTTTACCTAAACCCAATAAGGACTGGACATTTGTTTTTTAAGAGTATTCCCAGCATGAACTAGTTACCTCAGGAGTAGTCCGCGTCATGATGAACCCTTACCTCAAGCTGGTAAACTACTTCCTTATGCATGCTCTCGTACGTCCTGCTAAACCAAAACGGATACTCTTTGTTGTACCTACCTTGTTCTGCGGGCACAGTACCCCCACCCCGAAACCCGGAGACTCCAAACCCCAAACCTTGACCTCCCCCACCCCTAAGATCCATGTACCCATATCGTACATAGTTTAGCGCTTAAAGCTACGGTTTAGGAACGCCTTTAAGGCCCAAGCATGTGCCACACGGGTACATAGCCCTAAACCCTAAACCCTAAACCCTAAACCCTAAACCCTAAACCCTAAACCCTAGACCCTTTGGGTACCAGGTGAAGAAAGACTTGGCTGGCGTTTTCAAGCGCATGGCAGAGTGGCAGCCGGTAGATTTTAGTAATGCTCCTTGCTGTCTTTAGTAGTTTTGTTTTTTTGCTTTAGGGTTTAGGGCTTGGGGTTTGGGGTTTGGGGTTGTATAGGGTCAGGTTTTGTGCCGTGAGGCTGGGGTTTGTCGAAGTTGTTTTGCGGCCTTCCGTGAACAAACTAGGGCCCGGAGTAGGCCCTTATTCCCTTTTCTTCGTGGGTTTGGGTTCTCTTATTTGCCCGTTTTCCAAAAAGGGTACCCTGCTAAACCCCAAACCCTACACCCTAAACTCTGTTTATTCCCAGGCTACTCTTGGGTCTAGGAAATTGGGGT